CTGCATTGGCAGCATTCAATCAAAATTTTCCTTGACACTAGTGATTAGCAAATGAAGAGGATCAGCTGTGATCATGCATCTTGGCACAGCTGATCCGTTTCATGTGGCAGAAGAGACATCACCTGCTGTCCAACAGGGTTGGGCCCCCAGACCTTGGCCAGGGCCTGTTCCTGCAGGGTAATACTTGGAGTGCCTCTGCAAATGTAGGACTCCTGGATTTTCCTGCTGGCAAAGAAGTGCCTAGGGAAACCCCAGGCACACCTGTGCTAGTGGGGAGTTCTGGGGTTTTGCCACTTGTAGAAATGCACCTCCATGGAATTGCAAAGAAGAGAAGCTAGGTAGGGATTCTTGGGACTTCAAAGGCACAATCCTGTACTCCATGGGAATTCCCCAGGAGAGCCTGCATGGAGTGATTGTGAGTATAGGTGTGTCCAAGCTTCCTGTGCTCTCTTGCCTTGGAGCAAATAGAGGTCTACTGTGAAACAGCAGCACAAATCCATACCACCTATGTTGTGGCCACAAATTTTAAGCATTTGTGGCACAACAAGGGGCATAGGTATCTGTTTATTTGGATTTTGTGCTGCCATAAAAGATATGTTTGTACCCATAGATTTCTGAGGGGATTACACCCCTTTATGCCAGTGCAAAAGAGGTTTTACAGGGGTCAAACTAAAATATCCCCCCAATTTTTTGTTTTGTTTTTTGCAGTAGTTTTTTATTTGAAATTTTTAAAGCCTGCTGTTCAGAGAAATTAGATAGTCTCAAGGAAAACCCATTTTCACCATACCTTTTGGCATGTGTGTCTATTGTAAGATTAGAAAATATCTGTAACAAACAAAATTGTACTTTTTTTTTTCATTTGTAGACTAAAATAAAACTGCTCTGATCATTAGGGGTACAGATGGACGTGACAGTTTTCACCGGATCTGGCCATAGAAAGCAGTCTATATCTGTGACCAAAGACAAGTACATGGCTGCAGACAACTTCAAATATGGCTGATTGGGTGAGAATCTGATCCCTCATTGCATGAAGTATCAGATAAAGATGTTTCAAAATGTAGCATCTTTTGTAACTTGTGTCTGCAGAGCTCCCAGCCTGTCTCTGTTTTCAAAATGGGAGGGTGGAAAGGGAGCAGAGGGAGTTTAGTCTGGGAGTTTTTCAGCCTCCCCTGAAGGGTGGGACAGGTGTATTGGAGCTTCCCCCCACCTTGGTGGGAGGGCTCCAATTCACCCACCCCACCCTTCAGCACCAGCCCGGGAGACCCAAGAATGAGCTCCACTGCCTCTTTTTTCCCTCCCCC